CTACTTCAGTCAGTGGCAGCAGCAAAAAATTAGTGTTTACTCAGTTTGCCAGTTTCGCACAGATGCAATTCTTTTTTTTTTTTTTTTTTTTTTTTTACAGATGCAATTCTTGATTAGAGTTACAGGCTTTTTTTTTAAAAGGGGATTTTCAAGATCTCACATTTGCTACATAAAATGAGTCTTACAAAAATAGAGTGGTGAGCATGCATATGACAGTACTGATCTCTGGTAACATCACAAGAAGGAAGTGTCCTGTCCCCCTACGCCCTAACCCTTAGCACAGACAGAACAAAGACAATTCTTACTGGATCACGTATGTCCCACTTGCCACACCTTCCTATAATTCCAGCACTAGCGCTCCCTCTCACAATACTATTGTTTTTGATAGTTGATTGCAGTGCCCCACAGACAATATTCAGGATCATATGCTGTTACTGTATTTTGGTTTTGGGGGAAGTAATAGGTCACAATTTAGATCTGAAACACTAAGGCTATGATTCTTCAATCAGAACAGTCTCTTCTCAGGTCTGCTCAAAAGCAGACCTTTCAGGCTTGGCCTCTGCCCTGCTTGGGTAAGGGTAACAAAGTTCTTTTTTTTTTTTGTTCTGCCGATTGGGTGCCTGTGAGCCTCGGCCTAAAGGAGTGTAGGTCTAGGCCCAGGGGTTGGCAGACTTAGCTCCCTTGGAAAGTGCCCAAAGGCACCCTTTTCACTAGCAAGTACTCAGTGTTATGGATCTGTGAGCCAGGAGCCCCTAACTCTGTCCCACATTATCTGTGGTTCTGTCTGCACCACTGCCATGTCTGTTTCTCCAGTGCCACAGCCGTCCCCTCCTGGTTCATACAGAGATCTCAAGCCTCAAGGACATGCTACTCTCTCTGGCTCTTTCCTCTTGATACTGGAGGGATCGCTATGTTCTACCTCTAAGCCTGCTCAACTCAAGCCTGGCCTGATGACAAACCAATCAATACTTACATCAGTGTTCTCTTCATCTCATTTGCATGTTTACATCCAAAAGGTGCCATTTACCTTATTTGTAACATTGTTGTTGTTGATGATTGTCATTGAGTCGAGATCGACTCATAGTGACTGTATGAATAAAAGGCCTGAAGCCTCTCTATAACTATTATCACTTATCAAAGTTCATAGTTTCCAGAGGCATGTTGTTTAGGAAGTGGATGCCACTCCTGCGTCTAAAATGTTTGTAACATTAGCAAACTAACTAATGTTCTTGTTGTTCTGTACCGTAGAGTTGGAACTAACTCATAGCTGACCCCCCTGGTGGGTTTTCAGAGGCAGTCAAATACACAAGAGGAGACTGTTCATCCTTCATAGGAGCTGGTGGCCTTGAACTGCATAGTCACATCTGCATAGTCTTACCTAGGGAACTCTCTTCCCATGTGATTTACTCCTATGGTCAGTTCTGACTCAACAGTACTTAACAACAACTCAGTCTTGCGGTGAGAGTTACACAAAAAATGACTGAAAAATAAATTACTGAATAAGGAATAGTTCTAATGTTGTACACTTCAAAATTATGCAAATACGATGCACTATAAACATACTTCTGTCAGGTAGTTCTTACAATGATGAAAAGTTAAAAGCTATGACCTCTAAGTAGTTATAAGGAGGTCCTTACAAAGGTCTAGCCATGTGTATCCTACACCTCTATATCTCTCTTTCAATGTTTCTAACATCATTGAATTGTAGTTATGGTAATCTTAATTGTGGTTATCTTTACTCAACTATGGTTATGTTTACTGAGCCAAGTGGTTTGGTAATTATGTAAAGATGTAATCATCTCCCACCATGTGATCTGATGTGACCAGTAAGTCAGTTGTTAGTGGTTTAAGGTGGTTTGCAACACTCTGACTCGGGTTAATGCCCTGATCCTAGGTAAAAGGGCTTTCCCTGGGGTGGGGGAATTTTTTAATCTTACAAGAGACAGAAGGAGAGAGAAGTAAGCAAAAGAGGAGAGACCTTAGTATCATCAAGAAGAGCTGGGAGCAGAACGCATACTTTGAAACCCAGGGTTCCTGGGCTGAGAACATCCCATATATAGAGGAAAACTGATGCTTATATGCATGGAAAACTACAGGGGACATGGGATATTGAAAGGAGATGAGGTCCTTCCATCAGAGACAGTAGAGAGAAAGCCTCCACTTTGACGTTGGTCTTCTAGCCTCCTAAAGTGTGAGGAAATAAATTTCTATTTGTTAAAGCCATCTATTTGTGGTAATCTGTACTGTACCACAGGGTAACTAAAATGCTAGATAACTAAGACACATTCTCATCCACCACTCTTTAAACAACCTGGTCCACTTTCCATCCTCTCCCCTGAGGTACCTACACCACCCCATGTAGAAGGAGAGGTTCTCTGTCCATTGCTTCTTGAGTCTTGCAAATATCAATGTCTCAGGCTTGATCAGACTCTGTGGACTGTAGAATAGAGAAGTAGGCTTTGGTCAAGGAGCAGTTGTTGTAGTTGTTATGTGCTGTTGAGAACCTATTCAGAGCTGGCCTTCCAGCAAGTTTTCAGAAGCAGCAAATTATAAGGGAAGAAACTAACCTTGGAGTGGCTGGTGGGTTTGTACAATATGCCATTCAGATTGCAGCACAAGTTCTTACCACTAGTTCACCAGATCTCCCAAGGAGCAGTGTTGTTGTTGTTGTTGTTATGTGCCGTAGAGTCATTTGCGACTCATAGCGACCCCATGTACAACAGCCCTAAACCGTGTTCTATCCTGTGCCAATCTCATTGCCTCTGACACACCCACCCCGATTACCCCAGTCACTGAATCAATCCACCTCATAGAGGGTCTTCCCCTCCTGCGCTGTCCCTCTACTCCACCCAGCATGATGTCCCTCTCTAAAGACCTGTCTCTCCTTACAACATGTCCAAAGTATGTCAGACAAAGCCCCAGAATCCTTGCCTCCAAGGAGCAACCTGGTTTAACCCTCTCTAGGATGAATCTGTTTGTTTTCTTGGCAGTCCATGGTACATTCAATACTCTTCTCCAGCACCACAGCTCAAAGGCGTCCATTCTCCTTCTATCCTCCCTAGTCATTGTCCAACTCTCTGATGTTGTTGTTAGGTGCCAATAAATCAAGTACAATTCGCAGCGACGCTGTGAACAGATCTGAACTTTGTCCTATCCTGTGCCATCGTCACAATCTCTGACATACTGGAGCCCATTGCTGCAGTCATCATGTCAATCTACCTGGTTGAAGGTCTTCCTCCCCTTTGCTGCCCTCCACCTTTTCAAATATGATGTCCTTCTCCAAAGAATAGTCTCTCCTAGCAACATGCATTAGATATATACCAAGAGGTACAAGGAGTAGTAGATGTACCAAATCTAGCTTCATTTTCTGCAAACAAGAATGGACTGAATTAGTCACTGAGTGAATATTTGATTTGAGGGATTTGGTTTCCTAACCAGTTCCCTAGGAAATAAGCACAAGCCTCAAAACTAAACCCATCGCGTTAGAGTTGATTTCAATTCATGCTGATCCCAGGTGTCAGAGTAGAAGCTCCCTCTGGTTTTCTGGACTGTAATCTTTACAAAAGGTGATTGCCAGTGTTTTCTTCCGCAGTTCTACTACAGGGGTTCAGATTGCCAACTTTTAGGTTAGTAATCAAATACACACTGCACCACTCACGAACCATTTGAGGAATAAGTACATCATCTCCACATTAGAACTCATTTTACTCAATGACAACATGTGCTTGTCTTAAACATAATTTTTAATGCTCTTTTTGCATTCAACATTTTCTAGTGGTGAAGAGCACTGAACTCTCAATTGTAGGAATCACAACATTAGCCAGGCATTAGGTAAGTAGCAAGAGAGCTCTAGTGGCCTAGTGGCAAGAAGCTGCGCTGCAATCCCCAAGGCACTCTGAGCAATCTCCTCCCCTGCTTATAACCGCCTTTGAAAACCCACCAGAGGTCAGTTAAGGGTCGGCTCCTACTTGATAGTACATAACAAGGTAATTAAGCAAGAATAAACTTACCCACTCCAAATCTTTCACTTAATAAAACTGGGGAGGAGGAAGGTGTGAGAGGATTTCAGTTCCTGCTACAATCACTCCTTCACTCACTTTCCCACTCATTACCACGAAGAAGTTAGAATCCACTCGAAGCTGATGAGGAAACAGCACGAGAAGAGATTGAGAGCCACACAGGTGTATTGAAACCCGATAAAGAAGTGTGGTTACTGGGTGATCAGCGTAACTCCCTACAGACTACTGTCACCAGAGCTACCCTCCTGCCACAGTAGATTCTCAATAAATGTTAAGTGTAAATAACTGTTTTTCCTATGTAACGGAATCATGGAAAATCTACGAAGATCCGATTTCCATCTTGTGGCAATACGATCTGATTCTCTAGGTTTTCAGAGGCAGTTAATTGCCTTTGATGGGAAGAGATTGCCCTTCTCTCTCCTGGGTGCGGCTGGTGGATTGGAACTTTACGCCTTTGGGTTGTCAAGGCAACTCCTTACCACTGAGCTAACAAAGTTCCCTAATACAAGATATAAATCCCCAAAATAACTTTAGCTTTTTCAAAATAGACACTTCATATTTCCTAATGAGAATGATCTTAGATGAAAGTGATTTTCCCACAGAAGTGCAAAATTGATACTCAAATTGAAATCAGTGTTATTCATAATGCAGCATCACTGTAGCACCTAGTTCAGTGCTACTGCAAAAAGATTCGTGCAGACGAAATGTTGGCTGCAAAGGTAATAATTTTCTTAAAAGACTCAATGGGAAAAAGAAGTGAAGTTCCTTTAAGGAGGTGAGGTTCCTTTAAGAAGGTGAGGCCCGCGCGCCCCGCCCAGGGTACTTGAACTACGCCACGGATTAAGGTGAGGGACCTTGAACTACATTTCCCAGCGGGCCTTGCAGGCCTCCGCGCCTGCGAACTGGCAGCGAAGGGCGGCCCGCCGAACTCGCGCGCTACCCCTCCACCTAACCTCGGTTCACCTCGCTCCAACCTGGGACATGGAGGTAGTCTCGGCTGGGAGTCCCAGCGCCGCCAAGTCTGAGGGGGCCGAGGCAACGCCCACCCCGCCACCCGCCTCCCCGCCAGCCCTCACCCCGGCGCCTGCCGCGGACGAAGACGACCCGCTGCCTTTGCCCGAGGCGGGCATGACTCCCGGCTGCTCGGGCTCCCGGCCCCCCGAGCTGGAGCTGCAGCGCGGCCTGGGTCGCTTGAGAGGCAGCTTCGAGGACGACGACGAGGAGTTGGAGGAGGATGAGGAGATGGAGGAGGAAGAGGAGGAGGAGGAAGAAGAGATGCGCGACTTCTCCCTGAGGTTGGAGGGTGGCCGGCCGGACTCAGAGGATGAGGAGGAGGTATTTGGAGCCCCCGCCTGGCCTGGCGGGCCTGGGGAGCGTCTTGGGTCCCTCCGCCCTCCGCTACCACTCGGCTGTTTGCGCCCTCCGCCCCCGGCCGGCGTGGGGCGCGGCGTGGCTCCCCGCCGCCTTGGGTCCTGCAGCCGCTGGCGCCTCGGATCCTGCTCGCTCATCCTGCAGATAGTTCTTGAGTGGGGATCGACACCCAGCTACAACACAAACAGCAACAGTGCCAGGAGGGAGGGCTGCCTCCATGGACATTGTGCCTGTGCCCTCCTTGATCTTACAGAGATGATCAAAGGGGCCCGTTTCTGCAGGGTGTTCAGAATATGAGAAACCCCTCCCCAGTCTATTCAGTCCATAAAGGATTTTTTTTAGATATGTAGTTCATGCTTCATCAAGTCAAGCAGTACATCTAGCCAGAGTTAATATTCATTCTCTCCAAAGCGCTTAGGATCCCTTTGAAGCATTGGGGTATATTGTTGTATCATTGTAACTTTTTAGCAGTATTGGAAAAAGTTGTAGGTAGCGTAATATGTTTCCTTGTTGCATATTAAGTGACACATTGTTTATAATAGCATTTGAGTGACATTTAAGATTTTGAGAAGCCCGGAGCTTGTATTTTAAAACTTGACTTCCTTCCATTGCATTTGCAGCGCCTGATTAACCTCTCTGAGCTGACCCCGTATATCCTGTGTTCCATTTGCAAAGGTTACTTAATAGATGCAACTACCATTACAGAATGCCTTCATACCTGTAAGCATACAGTTCACATTTCTGTATTTTTTAAAAAAAATTGTGATTTAAACGAAAGTTTACAGAGGGATGGGCTTTTCATTCATTCATTGTTGCACATTTTCCTCCTCCCTTCCCTTCCCTTCCCCCTCCTCCAGTCCACTTTGCAATGCACCTCTTGTTCTAGATTGTTGTCATACATTTCTGTATTTTTCAATGTAAGAAACGCCTCTTATTTGTTGTTTTTCAACAGTTTGTAAAAGCTGCATTGTAAGACATTTTTACTACAGCAACAGATGTCCAAAATGCAACATCGTAGTACATCAGACACAACCTCTTTATAACATAAGGTAAGAAGAGTATCTATGTAAAATTTGTGTCTTAAGCTTACGCTTTCTGAAAGCTTACGTTTGTGTAGTTGTGAATAAATTCTTGATTTAGCTTAAAATTAGAGGACAGATGGTACCACTACTGCTTCATTTTAAGGAATAGGTATAGAGCACTTTCTGGGTACCAGACACTGTACTGTCTGCTGGGGGCCTTTTTCTTTTTTTTAATGAGCTACAGATCTCTTTCCTTGAATGTTTGCCTTCCATCGTTCAAGATAATGATTCCAGTTTAGGCTTATTTCACCATATTAAAGTTTTTTGGGCTTTCTTTGTTTTAAAGTAATGGCTGAAGCAACTAGTTTCTCTTTAGGAAACAAACAAACAAATCAACCAGTATATTATGGGCCCTTGTGGCTTACTAATAACATTTGCAGCTCCTAAGCATTAAATAGATTAGTCTGGTGGCTTAGTGGTAAGGAAATGTGTTACCCAAAGTATGTGGTTCAAAGCTGCTCTGTGTGAGAAAGCTGGGCAATCCCTCCCATGATATTTACTACCCCTGAAAAAACATGTTGGAGAGGGGAGCTATGGATTGGTTTTCAATTGAAGGTACATAACAGCAACAACAAGCATTAAATAAAAAAAGTGACTAAGAGTTGGGACGTAATGAAAACATTGGTAGTTTAAATCCATGAAAGAATGATGAGTCAGTCTGCTCTTGTGAAGATTTATTGTCCTGCATGCATGATGGAGGATTCTTAAGAGTCAGAATTGAGGTGAGCTCTAGTGGCCTAGTGGCAAGAAGCTGTAACTACAGTTTCAGAGGTGCAGGCTTCAAATCCACCAGATGCTCTGCTGGAGAAGGAGGAACAATCTCCTCCTGTACCCATCAGATCTGATTTGACGGTACACACAAAAAATAATAAAATAAATTTTAAAAAAAGTCAGAATTGAATCTAGAATGGTGGACATGGTTTGGCTTTAAGCATCAAATGCTCATATTTATTTTTTCTTTTTTTTTTTATTCTAAGGAAGGGGGAAAGTCCTACAAGTAAATTTTCATTTGCTGTCTTTGTAGGAAAATAAGGGAGCTCTAGAGACACAGCGCGTAGGGAATTGTGTGGCTAACTCAAAAGCCAGGCTTCATTCATGATTAGAATCCACTAGCAGCTCTGAAGGATGTGTAGTCTTCTTCTGAACGATTTATGGCCTCAGACACCTGCTGGAGAAGGCTCTGCGATGAGTCAGTTCCAACTCAACAACAATGAATCTGAGGGGTTGTGTTTGTTTTTGTTTTTTTTTATTATTTGTGTGTGTATGTGTACCATCAAATCAGATTTGACTGGTACAGGAGGAGATTGTTCCTCCTTCTCCAGCAAAAGGGGTTGTGTTTTTGTTGGGATTTTTTTTTTTTTCATTTTATTAAATGCTTTTCATATGTTAACTAAGAAGCTTAAGAAACTCTTTTTACCTCCAAGCACATAATCTTATTGGGAGGGTGGGAAGCAGTAAAGGTAGCAGGTGCAGGAGCAATTCTTTGACCTAAAGTATTCAGGATGGTCTGTGATTACTTGCTAATTTGTAATGACTTAAAATTTTCTCAGGTGAGCTATATCTTGGGCATCAGGTCTGCTATCTAAAAGTGACTAGTCTCAGAGAAAGAAGAACTTGTTAATTACAGAGTATCATGCATTCTGTACCCTAATCCTGTTTTCTACATTCTGAGGTGTTCTTCGTCCTTTCTTCTTATTAGGTTGGACCGACAGTTACAAGACATAGTGTACAAATTAGTCATCAATCTAGAGGAAAGTAAGTTTCTTTTGTTCATAGTTATGAATCCCAAAATCTCCACTGATTTCACTACTTACATTTTAAGTGTAATTTAGTTTGTGTTTTTTCACTTTTCAGGTGAAAAAAAGCAAATGCATGATTTCTATAAAGAAAGAGGTCTAGAAGTGCCCAAACCTGGTAAGTTTAGATAGATAGATAGATAGATAGATAGATAGATAGATAGATAGATAGCTAGCATAGTATAGTTAGAGACTACAGGGTAACAAGGAGAACTTAGTCCCTTTGAGGTTCTGTTTGATGATAGCTATAGTATTATCAAAAAGAGAAGAGAAATTATAATGTTATGGTATACATTTAGTTAGCTGTTTATGAGAATTAAAGAGTTAGACTCTGGGGCTAGATGGCCTGAATGTGATCTCAGCTCTGCCACACTAGCTGTGTGACTTGGTGGATTACTTCAGTATCTTTTATTCTTCATCGATAACAGAGATAATTATAGTTACTTCATAAAACTGTCATATGGATACACTGAGTAATTTTAAACAATGCTTTGAACATAGTAACTGTTCAAACGTTAGTGTTTAAGATGATGATGATGCCACAGTATTTAATCAGATTTGGGTAAATTCTGGCTATTCGACTTAACACGTGAGTGTCTTTTTAAACAAATCACCCAGTTTCACAAAGGCTTGGGTTTTTTTTTCCACTTAAGAAGAAAAAGATTAGTAGTCACGCTTATGTGGAGTTCTAGGGCCCCTACTGTGAGCTCTAGTGGGCAGGGAGTTATCTGCCAATTCAAATCCACCACTACTCTGTGGGAGAATGGTGGGTGATCTACTCCTACGTGATTTACAGCCTCTGAAAACCTGCCGGAGGTTCAGCTACTAGTTGGTTCCAACTGGACAGCAAATGAGTTCTGAGGGGTTTCTCGAGGGCCCATAGGTAGCATAGCCTGTAGCTGAAGAGTGAGCTATTTGAACCCACTCAGGTGCCTCAGAAGTAATCTGTTCCTGAAAGGTCAAGTTTGAAAATTCTGCACACATAGTTTATTATGAATCAGAATGGACTTGGTAGCAACTAACACTCCCCCCCCCCAATATCAGGATTATAGTGAGAATTTTATGAAGGGGTACACATAAAGTACTGGGCATGAGCTCTGGCACACACATAATGATACTTGCTAAGGGTTACGACAAGCTCTCCTTATCTATGGCTTTCTTATGACACCCACATCTGTCTATTTTCCATTTTACTGTCTTTGATTAATCAGCTAATGTTATTAATGAAAGGAGGCTTGAGTGCTTTATGCTCTTTTGAATCGTTGGCGTAGTAATGATACCTGTGTAATGATTTTTTCAGAGATCTCAAATTAGGACATTTTTGTTCTTATACAACTTTTAATTGTGTCTGTCAAATAGCTGTTCCCCAGCCAGTCTCTTCAAGCAAAGGAAGATCTAAGAAAGCCCTAGAGTCAGTGTTTCGTATTCCACCTGAGCTTGACATGTCTTTATTACTGGAGTTCATTGGGTGAGTACCAAAGATCTACCTCTTATCCTTCATATATGTAGTATTTTTTTTTATTTTTTTTTCATATATGTAGTATTTTAAGTCCCAAAAGATATGAAATCTTCCTGAACACAAGTAAAACTGAATTTTTCTGACATCTCTTTAAAAATTATTTAATATTTAAGACATAGAAAATAGTATAAAGGATAAAACGGTGAACGTGTACCCTCCATCTGGTTTAAGACATAAGCCATTGCAAGTATAATTGAAAAGGGGCCCTGATGGCACCGTGGGTAAAATGATTGCTAATCCCAAAACCCACAGAGTGAACCCTCCAGGTGCTCCTTGGGAGAAAGGTGATGCTGCTGTCTGCTTCCGTCATGATTTCTAACCTTGGAAATCCTATGGGCCTGTTCTTCTTGGTCCAACAGGGTCTCAGTGGCAATGAGTTTGAGGGGTTTTTTTGCTTGTTTTAATTGTAGCTAAAGTACTTTGGGTCCCTTTTCTTCTACTATGCCTTCCCTCAGAGGCTAATAACCACTCCTAAAATGAGGGAGCTCTGGTGGCCTAGAGGTAAGGAACTGCACTGCCACCCTGAAGGCTCGGTCTTTGAATCTCCCATCTGCTTTGTAGGAGAGAGATGGGCAATCTCCTGGGTGATGTGCAGCCTCTGAAAACTGCTGGAGGGTCAACTGTGAGTCACTTTTGACTCAGTACGAAACAACAGCAGCTCTCAAAAGGAGTATTTGTAATTTTTTAAAAATGTCTTTGTAAGTTTATTAATCCTTATGTATCCTAAATAACGTGTAGAATTGATTCTGCCTATTTAATATTTAAATGGGTATCATAATGTATGCTTTACAACTTGAATTTTTCTCAGTGTGTTGATTCATTAATGTTGGAATATGTAACTCTAGTTCATTCATTATCACTATTGTATAATAATTAAATGAATATACTATAATTTATCTCATAGTGTTGGACATTTATGTTCTTTTTGATTATTATAAGCAGTGTTGCTGTAAACATTTGTGTGCATATCTTCTCATGCATATGTAGTATAGTTTCTCTAGAGTTCACATTTGCTGTATCTCAACATACTTTTATCCGTACCTTTTTTTGATTTTACAAAATTATTTCCCAAAGTAATTGGATATCTTCTTATGAAAATAAATTTCCTATTCTAAACATGCCATCGTATGATGGACTCATTAACTATAGCACCTTTTTATCTCGTATTCCTTATAATACCAAGAAAACCCTAAGAGGCAGGAGTTCTGGTGGCCAAGTCCCTAGCATATTGTACTGAGACCCAGAAGACTTTGTGTTTCTGGCTGTTGTAGTCTATGAGTTGCTTTACAGAAGAATGGTGGGCACTCTTTCCCCATTAAGAGCTTCAGACTCCTTGGGAGCCTCATGAAAGCTCCTTAGTGGCCAAGAGTTTGAGGGGTGTTTATTTGTTTAAAGAAAGAGGAAACCTTCCTTATGCTTTTATTGAGCCCCAGACTTAACACAGTAGTAGGTGATGACAGTCAAATAAAGGTCTCTTTAAGATTTGTATCATTCCAAAATTTAAATCATCAATTTCTATTACTAAAGAATGTGCTTCAATCTGATGTCCAAATAATTTAACTGGTTAAATAATAGTCTCTGTGTGTTATGTACTGTGGAGTTGGAACTGACACATAGCTGACCCTCCAGTGGGTTTTCAGAGGCAGTTAATCACCTGAGAGGAGATCGCCCATCCTTCTCCCATGGAGCAGCTGGTGAATTCGAACTGCGTACCTTCGAGATTTGCAGCACAGCTTCTTACCACTAGGCCATCAGAGCTCCCAAAAATAATATATGCATACCTAAATAAGATAGACCTATGTGTGCTATTATGAATCAATACTAAAAAAACTCTAATTATATTAGTATATTGATCTTAATTATGTAAAACTCACTGCCTTCATGTAGATTCTGACTCATAGTGACCTTTCATTGGATTTCAGCGGCTGTAAATCTTCACAGGAGAAAGCTGCCTATTTTTCTCCTACAGAGCAACTAGTGGATTTGAACCACCAGAAACGGGATACTTTTTTGTTATCAGCACTATCAGCTAGCTTCACATTATGCCACCAGAGCTCTGTCTTAATTGTGTATTAGCAACAGCAAAGCCTCATTGGCATTGAGTTTATTCTGACTCATAGGAACCCTATAGAACAGAGAACAGCTGCCCTTTCCAAGGCTGTAATTGTTACAGAAGCAGACTGCCACTTCTTGCTCCTCGGAGGCTCATGGATTAGAACTAGAGATCTTTTGGTTAGCATACAGGTGCTAACCATTTCACCACTAAGATTCCTTAATTATGTGTTAATACAGATTAATCTAAGATATAATAATAGCCGCCACCCCCACCCCCAAAGTGCAAAAGGGAATCGATAGCATGCCTGTTTGTGAGTGTTACTAGGGGGATGTTGTTAGAAGAAAATGTGTTCATATATATGTTTCTTTATATAATGGATCGTTCCTGAAAAGATATTTGAGAAAATGTTAATGCTGATTACCACTAGGAAAGGGCATTTGGCAAATGGAGTCTCATTTTAGATGAGAAGAAAAACTTGCTTTTTGTTGTTTGAATATTAATTACCATGACTCATTAATCTTTAATAAAGGTGTTTAATGTAAAATATAAAGCAATTATTATATCCTAAAGAATAGGGCAGAAGAGGAATGTGACCTTTTCTATTAATGTGCAGCATGACCTGGCAACTCAGTTTTTTCATACTTTGATTAAAAAGTGACATACGATTATGCCAACATTAAGGAACCTTCGTGGCACAACAGTTAAGGGCTTACCTGTTAACAGCAAAATTGGCAGTTGAACCCACCAGATGCTCCACGGGGGAGCCATGGTAGCATAATTTGTGGGAAGTTCCTAACCCAAAGGTCTCACCTCTCTGGTTCAAATCCACCAAGGGATCTGGGAGAGAAAAGATGGACTGTCTCCTCCCATGCAATTTACAGTCTCAGAAACTGTGTGGGAGGGAGGTAAGCTGAGTTGTTTCCAACTCAGTGTGGATGTGTGAGTGAGATGCTCTGTGGGAGAAAGATGTGACAGTCTGCTGCTGTAAAGCTTTACAGCCTTAGAAACGCTGTGGGCAGTTTTCCTTTTTCCTGTCCAATCAAACTTAACTCTATGGCAGGGAATTTTGTTTTGGTACCACTGTTAGCTCATTGTTTGCCCACAGCAGAAACCAATACTTTATCACTACTAGCTTTCCTAATGTGTGAGATTTGACCACAATGATCAAGGCAGTTATTATCAGTTACAAAGTTGTTACATTATTAACATAGTCTTTGCTGTAGGCAAAGAGCCCAGACTTGAAATAAAGAGATCTAGATTTTCTAGTTTTGCAACTTTGAACAAATCACTTTTAATTTATTCGTAAGGTGTTTATTAAGGTTCTGCTATATACCAGCTCTATGCTAGGTACTATGACTCTAGGTTTAATATGTCAGTCATGTTCTTTGCTCTGATGGCACTTTCAGTTTTAACTTCTCAGAACTTTAGCTTTCCTATCTGGTCTAGCAGTAAGGAGTTGAACTGCCAACCCAAAGGCAAACAGTTAGACTCCACCAATGAGAGAAAGAAGAGCAGTATCTTTTTATGTGATTTGCTGCCTCTGAAAACCTGCTGGAGGGTCAGCTGGGTTGGTTCCAACTTGATAGCTCACAACAACAACAGCATCTTAAAAAAAATGAAACCTTACATGTTTGATTGTAAGTACTCTGTTTACCATGTAATATTGTTCATTATCTCAATTCAAAGAATTAAAGGGGAAAAAATTCCAGTGGCAAAGAGTCTTTTTGAAGGCACCAGTTCTACAGACAAGTCTCCATGTTGTCACTACACGGAGAAGCTTAAGTGTAACCACACAAGTCAGACTATTGGGACTAACTGTGGGAGGAAGTTTGTTCATGGCAAGAAAAGTGGTAGATGAGTTTCAACCTGATGTGGCAAATTTGGTCCAGCTCATAATTCTGCATGAATTGGAGTAGAGATGAAGAAAACCCAAAGCACAACTCAAAACTTAAGTATATTCAGCCTTGTAGAGTTATTTTTTTCAGCCTCAGGAATATGAAGTTAAATTTCCCATCAATTGGATATCCATGCTTTGTTATCTTAGTTTCTTTTTGTTCTTCAGTTTCTCCATGTAGAGGATTATAAGGAGAAATAACATCAGGAAGCAGTATAGTGTGTAGAAAGAACATAGACTTTCAAGGAGTCCAATACATGATAAGTAACTTTGGGATGTAACTTAACCTTTCTGATTATTGGTTTCAGTATTTCTAAAATGAAAGTTATAATAGTAACTACAAGATTGTTTTAAGACTCAATATAAAAAGTTAAATACAAAGTTTCAGTTTGTTGTGCAGTATGAGAAAAGTATTAACATACAGTATTGTAACAAAACCAAGCTTTTTAATAATATATAAATAATGAAATGTTGCAAAGTCATTCTGAAATACAAGTTAAATAGTTATTTGAAGAAAATTGTCTCACCTGAGGTAGGAGCAAAGGTAGCCGCCAACAAATGAATGCAGTCTTCAGTTCAGTGATATTTAGTAAACCGGGGAGGTAATAGCCTCTCTGTTTTGTTTTCATCCAACTAGAGTACTGGGTCCAAGTCTGGATACCACAGCCCTGGAGGATGTGGTCAGCTGAGATGTCACCAGAATAATAAAATTATCAGAAAATTATGTCATATGTGTTACTGGAAGGAAGAAAAGATGTGCAGTTTGGAAAACAGAAGGACATCATAAACTCCTCAAATTCATTCCTAATTTGTAAAGAAAAAAACATAAAAGAAAAAAATAGCTTTAATTCACAAGAGTAATAAAACATAAATATAATGCTAACAAAGCTGCCCTCAGGTGTTCCCCTCAAATTAAGGTTGACAGCCAGAAACCTTACATGGATTACTGTGAATTGGGGTCAATTTGAGAACAAAGGAGGGTTTTGTGGTGTTTTTTTTTCCTAACAATGGGGTTTTGATAGCTTGTAAATGTCATTGTGGAGAAAAAGTCATAGTTATCATGATTTTGTTTTTTTGAGGTGAAAGTATTACTTAAAATGATACTTCCCAGACAGCAAGATGGATCATTTCTGTGAAAGTAGATGGAGTAAGAACTTATCATGATTTTTTTTTCATCATGATATTTTAAAAATATGTTAGATTTTTTTTAAGCTGGAAAATGTTAGAAAACCTAAACAGAAAGTCTAAATGTTAAGAGTATTTGTTTCTCTCTTTTTTAATTCTGACTTGAATGAAAGGTTACAAAGCATATTGGTTCTTTATTCAATATTAAGAATATACTTTTATGCCTACATATTGAAAGTAGTGTAAAACACTGGCAAATTCCACTTTTGTTTTACCACTAGGTGGCAGAAATGGCAAATAATTAAATTTTAGTTCATAAAGAATTAGTGACGGTGTCTGAAATTTTAAAATAAATTGGTGTTCCTAAAATATTTATATTTGTTATTTGTTTATGTTATATAAGTAAATATAGTTTAAAAAATATTAAATATTGATTACTTTGTTCTCATTTTTCAGTGCTAATGAAGGTACAGGACAATTTAAGGTATTTTGTTTTTCGTTTTCATTCATTTCCCAAGAGGACTGTCACACAGATTTCAGAGTCAAATTAGCAACCATGAAGGGATTGTCTTCAGTACGATAAATAATACTTTGTACATAAAAGATATTAAAATATGAAATGTAGTCATTAATGCTTTTATAATAGGTTTATAAGAAAAGACATAAGTAGGGATTTGTTATTAATTCAGAAAAATAATCTAAGGAAAATAAATAATTTTTGAAACTCTAAAGTCAAATGCTATGTTAATTTGGTGATAAAAAGTCTTGAAGCATTTTTTACATAGTTGGCGCTTAGAGTTAATATGAGCTTTAAAATTCTATTTTACATGTAATATGCTTGCCTCAAGTTAACTTGCCCTAACTTGTTACTTCAATAATTTGCTGAGAGTTTAGAGGTAATAATGAGTTTCTTTGTAACCAATGTAAGTTCAGAATTGTCTAAAAAGGTTCTAAAATCAGATGCCATTGTATACGGCATTGCTACTGCACTATGAATTATTTGAGAAAAAGTAACTTTTAAAGGAAGTGAGTCAGGGAGTTACTTTAGGTTATAAATATATAAGAAAGCAGATAACTTTGATCTGTTTAAATTTTCAGTGGCTTTGAAAAAAGTTTAAGAAATCTTACTGACTTCACACAGGGTTTTGCTTTATAAATATGCTTGCTTACAGATGTGCATTAATGAATACATACAGATAGACACTTCTCTGGATGAAGTACATTATAGATGTCTTTTAGACATCAGTGCAGTAGAGGGAAGACAATATTAAGTCCTCCTGTGTTTAGAACCTCTGTGAACTTATTAGAATCTCTTCTAAATTATATCATATCAAACTAATGGTGACAAACTTTAGGAATAGCAGTGTGGTGGGTGGAAAAGTGACAGATAAATTTCTGTATGGGAAAAGTACTAGGCTATATTTCTTTATTTTAAGCCCCGTGCTCCACCTCCCCCCCCCCAAGTCTTCTCTAAACACTGGGTTAGCTTAATTAGTAAGCCATATCTGCCTTGAGCACTGAGCTCTTTTTAAAGAGCCCCCATGTAAGGGATCAAATTGACAATGACAACTTTCTAGATTAGATAGACATCTTAAGGGACAGTGTATTAATGTTAATGAGGGAGGAGTAATCTGGAAAAGAAGAATGAAGATGGTTGCACAACTTGAATATAATCAGTGTCACGTAGAAATTGTTGAACTGGTGTATTTCCTGCTCTTTAGTCCCAACAACAAATTAGAAAGTAAATTATTTGAATAGGGAAGAAAGCATTGACACTCTAATACATGTTACAGTGTGCTTAAACTTTGAAAGCATGATACTAAGTGAAATGGGTTAAATGCAAAAGAATAAATATTGTATGATCTCACTTTTAGGAAATACCTCTAGAACAATGCCTAGAGCCCACAGGGTCTGGAGGGAAGAAAGAATGAGGAGTTACTACTTAATGTATAATAAACTTTGGTTTTGAGTGATAAAAAAACTTCGGAAATAAATAGTTGTGGTGCTGGTACAGTATGATGACTGAAATTAATGTCACTTCACTGAGTATGCAAATGTTAAAATGTTAATGGACTAAAAATGTTATATGTATTTTACCACAGTGAAAGTATAAAATAAAAATAAAAATTATAAATTCATGGGGGAAAGAGTTTAAAGGAACATAATAACTAAATGCAATATGTGATTCTTCATTAGATTGTTAACTAAATTAGATCATTTTAGGGAGCTGTAGTGGCATAGAGGTAAGAAACTGTGTTGCCATCCCAGTGGCTTGTGTTGAATCCACCAACTGCTGGAGAAAATGGACTGTATCCTTCCCTGTGATTCACAGTCTCTGAAAGCCCACTGGAGCCTCAGCTACGGGTTGGTTCCAAATTAACTGCATATAACAACAAATATTTTTATTAATTTTTAAACTCCTGAATGCCTCAGTAAGTTTTAAATATTTTTAGATAATCAGAATTACATAAGCAAATACCTGTATTCTGAAACAATGTTTTTGAGCACCACAAACACAAATCTTAATGTCTGTTAAATAGACACATATAGAAATACATAGACATAGAAGTAAAGCAAATATAACAAAATATTAACAGAGAACTATGTGAAGGTTATCTGGATATTCATTATACTAGTCTTACAACTTTATAAATTATTCGAAAAAGTTAAGAGGGAAGAATGAAAGAAAAGAACATAAAATATTTACTTTTTTTTGCAAGTAAAGAAAGGTTTATTAGGAAAAATAACTTGCACAGGGAAACATGGCACGATTAGCCCATGGCTTTCAAATGTTTTACTTCTTGATAAGTCTTTAAATCTGTGAGTTCTTAATTTCATTTTCTTGTAATTTTTTCTTAATCTGAATTATGTGTTCTGTATGTAGTGCATTTTGTTGTTATGTCTCTGAATTTTTTTTAAAAACCATGTGTTCTATCCTTTGTGTTCCCTATAAACTGGCACTTAAATCTGAATTTTTATGAGATTCAGGTTTGATTTATAAGAAAAAACAATTCTCTGGGGCGGGGTTTAAGAAAAAAAGAAAAGAAAAAAACAATTCTCCATAGGTGCATAGGTGGTGCTTCCCCCCCACCCCCATCACCCACTATCACTTTTTTAAAACCACTATCACTTCTGATTCTCCAGGACAGAGTAGAACTGCCCCACAGCATTTCCAAAGCTGTAAATCTTTACAGAAGCAGGCCTCCAGCTGTGAATTCCAATTTCTGATGGTGGCATCTGAGCTCTTGACTACAAGTCATCGAGCTGCTTCTTTCAGGAAGCATCTAAGAATGTCTGATTGCTTGTTAGAGGTCACTGGTGATGTCCAAATTAATTGATTTACTGGAGGCTGAGAAGTGATGCTATTATTCTTTTTTTCTTTTTAAAAATATTTCTATAAAGAGAAATATCCCTTCATTTATTTAGTTGCCCAGTAATGTATAATTCATATAGGAAAGACAGCCAAAATGTTTGTTTTTGTTATATGTCATCTTTCAAAATAACGGTTCCCTAGCATTCTATACCTATTGCTCCTGAGTCAGTTCTAACAGTGAGCCTCAGATATTCTGAAGCTGGAAGGATGTAAATCCTAAAGGGAAGAAATTGCCTATCTATTTTTCTCCCTCAGAGTTGCTGGCGGCTTTAAACCGCTGGAAACATGAAGATATTTAGCAGTTTAACACCCTCTGCATGAAGCTCTGTGAGGGAGCTCTGGTGGCCTAGTGGTAAGAACCTACGCTACGATCCCAAAGGCACACAGTTTGAGGCCACAAGCTGCTTCTCAGGAGAAGGATGGGCAATCTCTTCCTGTGCAGTTAACTACCTCTGAAAACCTGCTGGAGAGTCAGCTATGGGTTGGTTCCGAACCTACACTACACAACAACAACAACAACAACAACAACAACAGTGTAGTGTAGTTTGTTCTGTTGCACATCTGATAGGTTTGAGATTCTTTTTTTTTTAAATTTTTTTTAATTTTATTGTATTATTTTTACGTGTACCGTCAAATCAGATCTGATTGGTACAGGAGGAGATTGTCCCCTCCTTTTCCAGCAGAGCATCTGGTGGATTTGAACCGTGTACCTCTGGGATTGCAGTGCAGTGTCTTGCCACTAGGCCACCAGAGCTCCCCTAGGTTTGAGATTCTAATCCACCAGTGGCTCCTCTGGAGAAGGATGAGCAATCTGTTCCTGTAGAGATTTACAGCGTTGGAAACCCAGTAGACGGTCTCTAGAAGTCAGAGCTGACTCGGTGCCAATGGGAGCATAGTATACTTGTGACTGATTAGATTACGGTTTTAGTTTGTTATGAACACACAGATTTGAAAGTATTTTGGTTTAATACTTTTCATTTGTTATCCTTAGTCATCTTCCAATTATTCTAGAAACTATTCTTTGATAATTTCCTTGCTTTATGATATGGCAAAATGTTCCTGCTGAACTTGTACATCCCTTGTCCCAGACTTAGAGTCAGTCTTTTCATCAAATCCTAATTTCTTTTGGTTTTTATTGATTTTTCAAAATCACAGTCTGGTCCTATAGTTCACATTTCTACTAGGTTAATTATTTCTCAGTTGACAGATTTTTCTGCAAGGTAAAATCAGGGATTGATACTGTTGTGTTTTTTTTAATAAAAACCTTTTTAGTGACATACAGGACAAAGTCTAGCATATTATTTCAACTTTCTTATCAAGTAAATCTTCTGTATTATAAATGGCAGGAAAGATTGGCATACTTGATTTCAAAGAAGTTTAATTCTTTTGTGGGATCTTTATCCCTGTTTATTTGCAGATGCTGGGAAGATAGAGAGGAAGACAGTTGAGAACTGTAACCTCCAGTTTATCTTTTTTAAAAAATGTCTTCTGAAAAAGCTAGGTTCACGTTAAATAAGAGGAAGTGCTTCTGTTACCTTGTGAAAACTAAGATAACCATATGCAAGATACAGCTCCCCACACTCCCCCAACCTAAGTACTAGCATATCTAAAAATTCAGTTCTAGGTTATCTAGGAATAACAGTTTAAACTAAATTAGATGAGTTTTAACAAACACTTGATACAAGGTTGAGATGCCCATCAAGAATTTAGAAATTGGATTGCCCCTCCTCTTAGGAGCCTCCTATTGAGATGACAAGTTCTGGATATTGACTGGTTGACCAGCAGGCATTTAGCTAGATTATCAATAAACTGGAGCTTCTCAAGGCATTTGATAGGCTTCTCATACTAGTCAGATAGTGTCACCTTCAGTGAGGACATTCCACTTGGAATACTACTCTGTTCCTCGGACTGCTTCCATATTTGGGGGTGAAACGTGAGAACTTTGTGACATTTTTGTCTGGAATCCTATCACTGTCCCATAGTGGCAGTTGGGTTCCCTATAAAAGTTGATATTTGTCACATAAAAAGCTAAATGATGCAAATCATCTTAGGTAAACTGGCTTACAATACAACAGCAATAACTATCCAAAGTTTTTATGTGCCAGGCGTAGGTCTTAGTTATTTACATATGTCTAGTCATTTATGCTCTTGGTAATTCTATGGGATAGGTGCTATGTATTATCTAAATTATCATAATATGAAAATATTATATATATTTTACAAATTGAAAAACAAAGGCTTAACAACTTGCCCAAAGACGTGGGAGCTTGAAAAGGGCAGAATCAACATTTGAATCCAGGCAGTTTGTCTTCAGAGTACCTGTACATAATACCTATGCTATCTACTACATTATAGGAAAAATGGGATAGATCTGTATAAATAGGAAAGATTTTAACCAAACTACAAATAGAAAAGCTGAGTGCTTTATGAATTAAAAATTGGTAGCCATTACGGGTGCTCTGTTGTTAGTTGCTGTCAAGTCAATTCTGACTGCTAGTGCTAGGGAAAAAAACCCCAAATCATTTTCCTAAAAGATATCCAGATTACTTCAGCTTTTTATTAGCATCATATGGTAGTGTCATGAGTTGCCTTGGGACAGAAATTAGATGAGCACTAGTATCTGTTTTTAAATCCAATTTGTTAAAGAAAACAGGTTGGTTTTGACATTTAATCTTGGATGTTTTCTCTTTTTTACAAATGTAAATTCACTTTTTAGGATGAAGAATAAATTTAACTCCAAGTTTTATTTTGTTTTTAATGAAGTATTAAAAAAATATCAGCAATCCCATCCTTTTTAAAAAAACAACATAATGTCATAGGGAGCTCTGGTGGCCTAGTGGCAAGAAGCTGCACTACAATCCCAGAGATGAGCCATTCGAATCCACCAGATGCTCTGCTGAAGAAGGAGGGACAATCTCCTCTTGTACCTGTCAGATCCAATTTGATGATACACACACACACACAGAATAAAAATATTTTAAAAAAACAACAAACCCCACTGTCAGTATACTTTTCGAACTGTGGACGCTAAGCAGAATTTCATTTTTCTTTGCTAAATAAATGAATTAGGATTTTATAGTAACTTTTCTTAATGGATCATCTTTGCTATAAAATGTGCCTTATCTTTTGTAAATTTTAAATATATACTTAATCTGAAAATAACTTTTCTATTTATTTTTATAGCCATTGGAAAAGAAGTTTGTTCGAGTTTCAGGAGAAGCAACTATAGGACATGTAGAAAAATTTCTCAGAAGGAAAATGGGTCTCGATCCAGCTTGTCAGGTATAGTGTGTATGTATAAAAGGCAGGATAGAGTTGTAAGATTGCTGTTAGGAATTGAATAGGGCATACAGTGATCCTAAATCCCAACTTACCCACATTTGTCCTGTTGGATATTTCTCACTACCACTGATGACCATTTAATTTCATTAAAGTCAGAAAAGATAAGGATGTGAGAATAGTTTCAAGGATCAAAATGCTCATCTTTTTATATTTCCATTTTGATGATAAAAGTTGAGAGTAAAAGATCATCCCTATAAATGTTCTTCTTTACCTATCCAATCTATACAGTATTAGATTGTTTGATTGGGTTTTGGTAGTTTTTGTAAAGTTCGTTTTAAGGGACCTCTGGTGCAAAGTCCATAGGGAGTTGCACTGCTGACCCAAAAACAGGTGTCACTCTGTTGATTCCAGTCTATCAGTGACTTTATGGGAAAAGATAAGCAGTCTCCTCCTCTGGGATCCATAGCTTCTGAAAACTCACTGGAAGGCTGGCTGTGAGTTGGTTCTGCCTTGGTGCCAATGAGATGATCATGATTTGATTTTTAAGCAAGAAAAAAGAGCTCCTAGTGTAGATATCTTCCTGAGTCCCAGAACACTTGTTTGTGCTCATGCGAAACCTGTACCTAAGAAGCTACTGTCTAAACAGAGCAAAGGAAAACTACATGGTTTGAATCCAAAAAAAGGAGTGCATCAGGGATGTTATCCTTTCTCCATACCTTTTTCAATCTATATTGAGCATATCATTCAAGAGTCTGGACTTTGACTCAGGAATCAGGGTAAGAGGAAGATTTATCAACAACCTGCATTATTCAAATGACATAACCTTGCTCGCTGAAACTGTGGAAACTTGACATGCTTGCTGCAGAAGATCAAGGATTGTAGCCTTCAATATGGATTGCATTTCAACATCAAGAAAATAAAAATCCTCACCACCAGGCCAATAGATAGCATCATGATAGATGGAGAAAAGATTAAAGTTGTTAAAAATTTCATCTTGCTTGGATCCACAATCAGCCCTCTTGCCACCAGCAGTCAGGAAATCAGAAGATGAGTTGCACTGGGAAAATCTGCTTTCAAGCACCTTTCAAGAGTGCTAAAGAGCAGTGATGTCAGTCTAGAGACTAAGGTGTATCTACCCTAAGCCATGGTCTCCATTGCTTGCTATGCATCAGAGAGATGGATAATAGCTGAATAGCTGCATAATTACTAAGGATGACAGAAGAATTGATAACTTTGAACTATGGCACTGCCAAAGAGATTAGAACATACCAAGGACTGCCGAGAGAACAAACAAGTCTGTCTTGAGGAGGATAAACCTAGGTTGCTCCTTGGAGACAAGGATTATGAAGCTTCGTCTTACATACTTGGAGAAGAACATCATGTTTGGGAGGATAGATGGTCCCAGCAAGAGGGAAAAACCCTGTGGTAATGAGGTCAGATGTGTCAGAGATGATGAAGTTGGCTCAGGAAAGGCAAGATTCAAAGTTGTTGCTCAACGGGACATAATAGCAACCACAGCATTCCAGATATATAATGTTTTCTTCTTGTTCTAAGGCATACTTTACTTCATGTGTTAATGAACATAAAGTATAATTATATGCATAGTTTTAGGGGTGTGTGTGTGTGTGTGTGAGATTTCTAGGCCAGGAGATCTCCTCACTAGGCTATTATTTGTGCCGTCGAGTCGGAACCAACCTATAGCTGACCCTCCAGCAGATTTTCAGAGATGGTAAATCACACAGAAGGAGACTGCACATCCTTCTGTGGAACAGATTGTGGATTCGAACTGCTTCCTTTAGCATTGCAGAACAGCTTCTTACCAATAGGCCATCAGAGCTCCCTAAATAGATATATAGTAAATCAATAAAATATGACTTCTCTTGGTTGTATTGCATAGAATGTTATATTTCATGGTAATTGAAAACTGGAAATTATTTAATCTATCACATTATAGGCATACTGTTCTGCATTTTCCACATGTAACAATATAGCCAAAGAAAAAACACTTATAGCACATACAGGAAGCTAATATGCAAGGGAGTTGCATGGTTTACAAAAGATACTTTAACCACTACAAGATAAAGGTAAATAGTCCAATTGAAAAATGGACACAGGATATGAACAGACACTTCACCAAAGACATTCAGATGGCCAACAAGCATATGAAGAAATGTTCAAAATCCCTAGCTCTAAGAGAGATGCAAATCAAAACTACTATGAGGTATCATCTCACCCCCGTAAAAAGAGCAAAATTTAACAGAACAGCAAGCCACAAATGCTGGCGAGGTTGGGGAGAAACTGGAACCCTTATTCACTGTTGGTGGATATGTAAAATGGTGCAACCAAAGGGAGCTCTGGTGGCCTAGTGGCAAGATGCTGTACTGCAATACCAGACGTATGTGATTCAAATCCACCAGTTGCTCTGCTGGAGAAGGAGGGAAAATCTCCTCCTGTACCAGTCAGATCTCCACACACACAAAAAAGAAAATAAATAAATAAATAAAATGGTGCATCCACTGTGGAAGGCAGTATGCTGCTTTCTCAAAAAGTTTGAAATGGAAATACCATTTGACCCATCAGTTGCACTACTGAGAATATACATTTTTTTATTATTATTTTATTAGTGTGTGTGTGTGTGTGTGAGTTTGAAATGGAAATACCATTTGACCCATCAGTTGCACTACTGAGAATATACATTTTTTTATTATTATTTTATTAGTGTGTGTGTGTGTGTGTATACCATCAAATCGGATCTGACTGGTACAGGAGGAGATTGTCCCTCCTTTTCCCGGCAGAGCATCTGGTGGATTTGAACCGTGCGCCTCTGGGATTGCAGTGCAGCTTCTTGCCACTAGGCCACCAGAGCTCCCCTTGAGAATATACATTTTTGTTGCTGCTTTGTTCACAATAGCAAAGAGTTGGAAACAGCCTAAGTGCCCATCAACAAATGAATGGCTAGAGAAGCTGTGGTATATTTACACAATTGAATCTTAAGCAGCACTGAAAAACAAAGAACTCATGAAATATACAAAATAGGTGACCCTGGAGGACGTGCTGAGTGAAATATTTCAGTCACAAAAAGACAAATACTGTATAATGACACTGTTATAGAACAGGACTGTTAAGGGGGTTGGGAGGAAACTAAGAGAAGACAATAAATAATGTACACGGCATTGAAACAGATGAGGGAGAGAACTGTATAAAAGGAACATATTATTAGGTATTATTGGCATGACAAGAGTCCAGAATAAGAGTTTTTAAAGTGGTGGTGGTGGTGGGGGGGAGCTATAGAACAATGAAAGAACTTTTTTTCCAAAGAAAAAAGTAAACTCGGGGGGAGAGGGGACAGGGAGGAAAATGGACAACAATGAATGAATAGAAATCCAAGTTCCTTATAAACGTTCATTAAAATCTAAAAAAACCCCCAAATTACATATATTTTTTACAAGAGTGGAACGAACCAGTCTGTTTTGTACAGCACATTCAGTGAAATCTTTTATCTTGAAACTGTAGTGTGATCTTGCTTTTTATAAAGAAAAGTTTTCCATCTTTCATAAGACTGCTTTTATCATCTTATTTCTGTTCTGAGATCCATAAATAACTATCATATTGAATATGCTGTGTGTGTCTCCTCTGGGGTAAAAAAGGAGAGTGTAGTAAACCTATGCATGGATCTCTCCAGACTCTGCCTATATGTCACTGTAAAAGCTTAGCTATTATGTCCTCTGCTCCCTTTCACCTTGGAAACCTCCACAGCAGATGGAACCTTGCTGTGAATGATGTAATTTGTTTAGGAGATATTTATAATCAGATCGTTTTTAAAAATGGACATGTATAATTGAAAAGAGCTTAACATCAGAGGAATGGATACATACATTATGTTATAGCCTTATAGTAGAACCATTTTGCAAACAAATGTTATTCTGCTTATTTTAAACCTGGTAAAAGCAAGCAGAATTTGAAGACAAGAAGTCTGGTTAGATGATTTCAGTGTTTGTGCCTAAGGCAGCGATTAAAAGGGGGATGCAGACTCAAATATTATAAAGGAAGAAACAATAGGACTTTGCATACTGATTCCATGTGAGAAGAAAGAAAAATGTTACAGTCTAGTTAAGAAGGTGGAGTCATTTCATACCATATAAACAGAAGGAACACTGATGGTGTAGGGGTTAAAGTTCAATCCCATCAGCCACTGTCCATGAGAAAGATGTGGCAGTCTGCTTTTATAAAGACTTAGAGCCTTGGGAACACTGTGGGGTAACTCTGCTTTGTCCTTACAGGGTCACTGGAGTTTGAATCAATTTGATGACAATTGATTTGCTATGCTAAATAGGGACACTAGGAGATGGAGTAAATAAAATGTTATTAATAAGATGTTATGAACCTGGCCCCATTGTAAGGCGTTAGGAGAAGACCACATAGTGAGAGAGAGTTGCATTTCTATCTTAGCAAATAAGTACACTAGAATCTTATAATAAGCAGCTACACAGCAGTTTTCTTCTTTCTAGATAATTTTACATAAAAATAGCTGTATCTTAGTGCTTTGACATTTATAAAGGCTTCAAAAAGCTTTTGAAATTGTGTCATCTATAAAACACTTCCCTCAGTGACAGCTTTAAGGCAATGTTCTACTTAAGACTGATTTACATAGCATGATGGGACAAGGATGAGAATTGTTTTAAATTATTGTATTGTCCTTTTAAAGTGTGACTTAAAAGCTTTTTAAAATTCATTTTATCATGAGACTTTAAAAAAACATCAGTCACACTATGTGTTCTTACAGTGCTACGTCCTTAGTGCTTTTTCCACTTTACCTTATTGCAGGGGTGGTGCTAGTGAGGGAAATTGGAAGAATCTCTTTTGGAAGACAATGTATTTGGATTTTTGTAAATAAACTAGTATAATTAAAAAAAAAGTTTTTAGAAACCTCTCTTGATTATTTAATCAGTCTCGACACAGCACTGTCTGGTCTGTGAATACTTACGTTGTTTTTTTCCAGATGAATTTTGAGGCAGGGAAGCAATCTGACTTTTGTATTTGCCCATAGGTAGATATCATCTGTGGTGATCACCTGCTTGAGCAGTATCAGACTCTAAGGGAAATCCGACGTGCAATAGGTGATGCAGCAATGCAGGTAGGTCTAAGTTTTTATGGGTTACTTGAATAGGGCTGGAGCTAGGGGATAAATGGCAGAGCACTGCTAATGGAAATGGCTTTTCTCTTTGAGGTGATGAAAATGTTCTTAAATTGATTATGGTGGTGGTTCTGCAACTCTGAACTGAGTTTTTTTTTTTTCAGACCGAGAGTAAAGTATTTTTATAATTATTAATAATGAGACAGACAACCAGGAATGAGGTAAAACAGAATGTAAAAGATGGGGGGGCTGCAGTTCCAACGACTGAAGGGCTAGATTGAATTTTATACTTTAAAATGGGTACAAGAAAAAAATTTTAAAAAAATGGGTACAAATCTGTTTTGGGAGGAAAATCAGTGGTTGCTTTGGTGTTGGGAACAGAGATTAACTTGGGGATGGGAATGAGGGAATTTACAGGGGGACTGCTTACTGGTAGTTATTACTAGTTACTGGGAATATTCAATCTTGGTAAGAGGTTGAAGTTAAGCAGATATATCCATTTGTCAAAATTCATACGTTTTGTTGTATGTCAGTGAAAAATGCTTTTCTAAAATTGTATACTGATAATTCTTCATCTCTTTAAGTAGCTCAAGGATCCTTGGTGACATAGTGTGTAATATACCAGGTCTGTTAACTGAAAGGTTAGCAATTTGAATCCACCAGCTGCTCTCAGGGAGAAACATGGGCCATCTCCTCTTGTAAAGATTTATAACCTCAGAAACCCAATGGATGGGTTGGGATGGACTCAGTGGCTGTGTGTTTGATTTGGTTTTAGCTCGTTTTCAATGTAACGGACTTGTAAGGCTCGGAATATTGCCACCACCACTGTAGTTCCACTCTCCTTGCCACACAGTCTGAATTGACTCATATATGACCCTCCGGTGGATTTTTAGAGGCTGTAAGTCACACAGGAAGAGATTAATAAATTACTGTAAAAATAAGGTTTCATAACTTTTTTCTAATAGTATGAAACAGATTTGTTAAAGATCACAAATTTCTATAACTTTTTTGTAAATCATATCTAATCGAACACTGGAAGGCTATACATTGCTCCAGGCTTAATTTTTATTCTGCACTGTGAGATTATTAAATTGTATTCTCTTTTTCTTTTTTTTTAAATTATTATTTTTGTGTGAGTGTACTGTCAAATCAGATCTGACTGGTACAGGAGGAGATTGTCCCTCCTTCCCCGGCAGAGCATCTGGTGGATTTGAACCATGCGCCTCTGGGATTGTAGTTGCAGTTCCTTGCCACTAGGTCACCAGAGCTCCCCTTATATTCTCTTTTTCTTATAGCTACACCTGTGTTACTTAGTAATAATTAGTTTGTCATAGTAGCAAAGGTATTTGGCAATACCATAGCCGCTAGTGGTTCTGAGGGAGATCTACTCTCTGGCCAACTTGATGGCAATGGGGGAGAGACTTTAGGTAGAGTCCCTGAGTCAGAACTGACTTGATGACATCTGACAACTACTACACAGTTTCAGAGATGAGTAAGTTCTGGAACCTAAAAAGCCTGTCATATAAGCAAAGTCCTGGTTGATAACCCAAGTTTCGTGACATCTCCCGAAATCATACTCGATGAGTATTTGACTTTCTCCCTGAGAAAACTAGGCAATAGTGAGAGAGGGAAAGAATGAATGGTGAGAGCTGAGATCTAGACACACAATGCCGGCTGGGGCAAAAAGTGTTGATTTTAATTGAGTAAGGTAGGGAACTAAAGGACTGAGTGATGTGATCTCACTTAGGCTAGATATTTCAAATAAAGGACATGATGAATGAAGGAGGCAAAGGGAATATGCACATGGGTCTGTGTGTGTATATATAATAATACGTATTGTTTATATGAGTAAATATAGTAGGCATTTAAGTATAAATTTATAAATAATCATCTCATTTCATAAAATAATGATTTTCCATTAAGGTAGTTTTGAGTTCGTGAAACAGCTTGTGAGATGTACTTTCTACTCTATATCTGCATAACAACATACTATTTTGGAAATGGTATTTTTAATTTCTGGAACATATGTGAAAATTAACATGCAAAATAGAGTCTCTGTGCTTGTAAACAGTTAATGGCATTTTTTTCCTATTTGGTTATAAAAATTTGCTTTGATTAGTCCAGTTAATCTAGAAACAGATCTCATGGTCTGTAAGTCAAATGTGCCATAGAATTGTGTTCTTCTTGGCTTATTCTGTGTTTCAAATATTTCTAAAATACATTTTAATTTAGAAAGGCAGCTTTTGCTTTTCATTTCTCACTAGACACTAACATTTCCTGTTGGCTTATAAATTTAACTCATGTATTCATTTATATTACTTTTTTGGCATCTGTAAGCATTTAAAATTTGTGAACTGTTTTCTAGAATCTTGGCGTGTTTTCATTGGAGTTGTCAGGAATAAGCAACAGAAGCTAAAGTTCATTGAGTTATGTAGAGAATGAGAAATGAAGAAATGGAACCACCAAAAGCTTAACAAAAAAGAAAAAGATAGGGAATAGATAGAGCTAGATTAGAAATGTCAAATTCCCACGGCAAGACCATTGCTTGTTTTTACACTTGCCCAATGACTCTTACCAAGGTTTTCCTTTCCATCAGAAATTAAAAACCACACTTTAAAAAGGTAGACTTCTTGCTAGATACAACATTGGCAAAAAGCACAGAGATTCAAGACCTGCTATTAAGAGGGTATAACAATATTCCCATTGTCCCAATTGGCCTCTAAGGGTTCTTGCCTTCTGTCTACTAAAAAATCCTTAGAAGAGGTGTGTGAATGAGCAGCATTTATTTTTCACTTGTAGCAAGAAAAAGGAGACAGGATAGTGCTTTTGAAAAGATACTGTATTGATAAGAGAAGTTTTGATAACTTGTGGATGGCCTCCTTGATCTGAACTGCCATCATGTTAGAACTGCCTTGTGGCTGACTCTTTAGCAGGTTTGCCTCAGCTGTAAATTGCACAGGAGGACACTGCCATTGAGTCAGTTCTGACTCACAGCGATTGTTTATTGGATTTCTGAGGCTATAAATCTTAATGGGAGGAGTCTGCCCATCTTTTTCCCGCTGGTGGATTCGAACTACTGAAGATGCTTGGCCTTTTGGTTAGCAGCATAACATGGTCCAAACTCCACCACCTGAGCTTCTTTCATTTGTTGTGCTGCTGTTAGGTGCTGCTTAGTCGGCTATGGTCATAGTGACCCTAAGAGCAGCGGCTCTGAGCCTTGTCCTGTCCGGCACTGACTGCTCAAGCTCCACCTGGCTCCAGCCCATTGCTCCGCTCACCGTGTCAGCCCATCTTGTGGAGGGTCTTCCTCTAGGCCTCTGACCATCTACCTTTCCCAGCATGATCTCTTTTTCCAAAGACTGTCCCTTCATGACAACACACACAAAGTGTGGGGGACGAAGTTGCCGTGTCTGCCTTGAAGATCACCCCACTTGCATTTCCTCCAAGACAGCCTTGTTTGTTCTTGTGGAAGTCAGTTGGAAATACATGGTCAATGTAAAGGTTTCACATGCACACAGGTGGTCTGAGATTCCCAATCTTCTCAATATTATCCATAGTTTATTATGATCTATACATAAAGTCATCATAATTTATTATGATCTACATAGAGCTGTGCTACCAACCCAAAGGCAAATGGTTTGAACCCATCAAGATGGACTGTCTCCTATGCAGTTATTGACTCTGAAAACCCACTTGAGGATCATCTATGAGTCATTTCTCACTCAATGGTGTCTAACAGCAATAATATGTACTGTGATATATTTTAGACATTGATTATTAAGTCGGGGCTTCACATCTCATCACTTATAATTGTATTACTGTTGTTAGGTACTTATCAAGTCGGCCACGACTCATAACAATTTCATGAGTGACCCATGTGAACCTTGACCATCCTCATGATCTCTGTTATGCTCAAATCTATTGTGGTCATCACCATGTCAGTCTATCTTGTTAAGAGTCTCCCTCTCTTTCACCAACACTCTGTCTTTCTCAGTGTCTCTCTAAGGATTGATTTTCCTTCTGAAAATAATGCCCGAAGTAAGTGAAGCCAAGTTTCATCATGCTTGCATCTCCCAAGGAGCATTGTGGCTGCACCTCCTTCAAGGAAGTGTTGTTTGTTCTTTTGGCAGTCCATGGGACATTCAGTGCTCTTCACCAACCCCACAGTCAGTGACATCACTTCTTATTTGGTCTTCCTTATTAGTTGCCCAATTTTAAGCTGCATTGAAAATAACCAAGGTTATCCTAAGTACAATTCTGTGAGTGATAGAATATGAATACTATTCATACGGATATTAGGAAATCCTGTTAATACAAATGGTATTCAAATACACGCACAAACTATGAAGGTCACAGATGAAGAAGTTGAGAATTTCTACCAACTTTTAAAATCTGAAATGGATTGAACATGCAATCAAGATGCCTTAATAATAATTGAGGACTAGAATGCGGAAGTTGGAAACCAACAAGGACATGTAGTTGGGAAATATGACCTTGGTGAAAGAAATGAAGCTGGAGATAAAATGATAGGATTTTGTACAATGAATAATATGTTCATTGCAAGTACTTTTTTTTTTCTTGTTGTGTACCATAAAATTGAATCTGACTGGCACAAGAGGAGATTGCCCCCCTTCTCCAGCGGAGCATCTGGTGAATTCGAACCATGTGCCTTTGGGATTGCAGCACAGTTTCTTGCCACTAGGCCACAAGAGCTCCCTTTGCAAGTACTTTTTAAAACACACGCACACAACACAAACCCATAAGTGGTGATTATATACGTGAACTTCACCTGATAGACTACATAGGAATCAGATTGACTACATTTTACACTGTGGAAAGAGATGTTGGAGAAGCTCAATATCAACATTCAAAACCAGTTCAAATTGAAGATGAAGAAAATTAAAACAAATCCATGAGAGCCAAAATATCACCTCACCTTGAGTGTATCCCAATTGAGTTTCTAAACCATCTTAAGAATAGATTTGGCACATTGAACATTAATGGCTGAAGACCAGATAAGGACATCATCCATGAAGAAAGCAAAAGGTCATTACAAAAAACGGGGAAGAAGAAATAAAGACCAAAATGTATGTCAGAAGAGACTCTAAAACTTGCACTGGAGCAAAAAGGAGCTAAAACAAGAGGAAGAAATGTTGAGGTTAGAGAGCTGAACAGAAGATTTCAAAGGGTAACTTGAGAAGATAAAGCAGAGTATAAGAATGAAATGTTCAAGAAGCTGGAGTTAGAAAACAAAAAAGGAAGAGAATGCTCAGCATTTGTCAAGGTGAAAGAACTGAAGTACAAATTTAAACTTTGAATTGCAACACTGAAGAATTCTGTAGCAAAATCTTGAATGGTGCTGGAAGCATCAAAGGAAGATGGAAGGAATACACAGTCACTGTACCAGAAAGAATTTGCTGACAGAGAACTATTTCAGCAAATAGTAGCATATAAATGAGAACCAATAGTAATGAAGGAAGAAGTCCAAACTGCACTGAAGGGATTAACTTCAGGTAGTGAGTTACCTTAACCTGGAGATGAACATTTCTTGACAAATAGATTTTTGATTTATGATTTTTGAATCTTGTTTAGAGGAGTCCGGTGTGTTGGTAGTCAAGAGAACATCCTAGAATTTAACAAAGACTGGTTTTGCATCTCCATTTGTATCTATTCAGAAGTGTGTGAAAAAAAGGAAGATGTATCTCTTTCGTTCTTTTTGGAGAATTGCAAAACAATCCTAACTGGTAGCTTCTTCATTGGTTTTTGAAAATCATTAAAAAGATAACTTTGACAAGGAAAATGTTTGGTGATGAGGTAAGTAAATAAACTATATTTATCTCAGATTCTTCATTCTCTTTAAGTGAAATTTTGCTTCAGTATTGGGTTATGAAAAAATAAGCATACTTTATTATTTATATAACTGGTTTTCAAGTAGCTACAAAATGCCTTTCCCCACCCCCTTCTCTTTTCTCTTCAGGATGGTCTGCTTGTCCTCCATTATGGTCTTGTGGTTTCTCCTCTTAAAATAACATGAAGATTCTAGCAGTGTTGGTGGTGGAAAACAAAGTGAAGAGGCTTCTGTAGGACTGCATCTCACCAAAGATTTCTACAAACCATGTAATTGCTACCACTTAATGCTATTTGGAGTTATAATTTATCTATTTTCAGCACCAATAACCATTGCATTTATAAGTACAACCTGGAATGATGAAATGCACTATTTTACTAGAGACTATATTAAAAGCATCCATAGCTCAGGGGCAAAATTCCAAAACATTGAATTTTAAAATTCCTTTTAATTTAAAGTACTTTCTCATTGATTTTCCTTCCTTATCTCCAAGGCAAATCATACTGTGTTCTTCATTTAGCCACCGCCCTTTCAAGTTGATGAGTGGGGCTCTGCTCACAAGAGAAGGCACCAGCTGTCAGTCAGCCTTTGGGAAAACAAGTTTACCTTTGAGCTGAAGAGACAAAACTAGTCTTTATTAAATTGTAGGATGTGCTCTTTGATAGAGACCAAAAATAATGACGACTTTTGTGTATTACCATCAGACTTCCAACCTGTTGGGGTTTTTTGTTTGCATGTTTTAATACCAACAAGTCTATTACAGGAATGTTACTCAATTATGAAATTATTTTTCTGTGTGAAGAGACTCTGCCATCAGGTTTATGACCTGTCAGTAAAGTTGGCACAGGATAGAGCAGGTTTCAGGCTGTTGTACATAAGGTGGCGATGAGTCACAAGCAACTTGATGGCACATAACAACAACAACATCATAAGCCTTCAGTGTAGTAAGACTTTCTTTATATCCTACAGCAAAGTGACCCATTGCCAGCGTGTATTAGCTTGGTTACCATTTATTTGAGTACATTGCATGGTTATTGAGCACAACTTCTGGAAAGCATACATTTTAAGTGAGTTTGAGAACTTTCTGAAATATATGTTTAAGTTCCTCATTAAGTCAATTTTTCTCAACCAAGTGTAGGGTGAGAGTGTGAGTTCACTCATTTGCATGCAGACTTCTGTTTTAAGCATTATTTTGCCTAAATTATGATACTTTATAAAAACGAGTATTTCATAAATCCTTTCACAATAAATTTCAAGCTTATATAAAAATATGAAATTGAACAAAGATTGGCAGTTGTTTTATAAATAATTTGCTAATTGTGTATAAATATCTTCTAACATGAATAAAAATTTATTTTAACCTAACTTGATATGACGATCGTGTTTATTATAAACTTTTTTTTAAGTCAGCAGGGGAAAGACATTTAAGCAAAGAGCGCCCGTCTAAGAGGTTCCCATGCCTGGTTAGCAGTGATTATGGCAGAAAGACAGTTAAAGGTGTGAAAGAGAAAGACATTGTCCGAGAGGAGGGTGGGTCCCTCCCTTGTGGGATGAGGGGGAAAGACCTACTAAGGACTTGTAAAGATCAGCCAAAGCCCTGTGAAGGACAGGCGTCTGCAGGACACACAGCCGTCATGGACACTCTAGTCAGACATGTCATGCTAACACTACAGCAAAGACCTGAGAAACTAAGTGAAATAGATATAGAAGGCATCCATCGAGCCCTGGTTATCTAATGAATGGGGAAAGAATTAGATTAAATATTGATTAGAAAAATAAGCAATGCATACCCATGTTCATTGCAGCTTTGTTCACAATAGCAAGGAGTTGGAAACAACCTAAGTGCCCATCAACAAACGAATGGCTAGAGAAGCTGTGGTATATTCGCACAATGGAATACTATGCTGCATTAAAAAACAAGGAACTCATGCAATATTATTCAAAATGGTTGACTCTGGAGAACATTATGCTGAGTGAAATATCCCAGTCACAAAAGGACAAATATTACATGATGCCACTGTTGTAGAATGGGATTGTCCTTGGGGTTAGGGAGACACTGAGTAAGATGGGTTCAATAATGTATACTGCACTGAAGCAGAGGAGGGAGAGAACCGTCTAAAAGAGAGATGTAACTGGGTATTTCTGTCATCACAGGAGACTAGAGCGAGGGCTGCATGGTGGAGGGGACCTGGGGGAGGGTTTGTAAAACAATGAAAGAATCTTTTCTTTTACTTTTCCATAATTTTTGGACTCATGTACTTATAACTTGTTAGTCAAATTTGTGTCTTCTAGGTTGCAACACCCCCATGATACATCTTGAAGGATATGTACATGTACAGCCAAGCACAATCAATAAGAGTGCATCTGAATTCCAAAATCAATCTCCATAACAGTCTATGTGTTTCCTACTGCCAAAGGGGCACTTCAGAGTAGTGAGAGAAGATCTTCACCCTGAAACCCACAGCGTCCCTTTTCAGCAGGAAGTAGCTAAGAGAATACGCCGTCCCCTTTTCCTTATGACTCAGGGTGAAGTCTCTCTCAGGGAGGAGTGATAGGGAATGGCAAAGGATACACTGACAAAGAAGATTAATCAGAACTGGCTTTGACAAGCACTGTGGCATTTGGACAAGAACAAACTGGGAGGAGGGTAGAGAGAATAGTGCAACAATGAATGAGTGGAAGCCCAAAATCTCTGTAAATGTTTATGAAAATTAATAAAATATAGAGAAAAAAAAAAGAAGAAAAATAAGCAGCCTTGAAACCACAAATGAGACATGGAGAAAAGAGGGACGCTGTCACAGGGCCATCTAGAGACAGAGACAGCAGCGCTCCCCAGAAGTGAGAAGATAGCGTCCCAGAATTCCCAGCAGGACATACAGTGACTGTGTAGACATACTCGGAGTGAAAGCAGGCTCTACTGGCTTCCTGAAGCTTATATACCCCCACCTAATGACCAGGCATGCCGCATCCCCGCTGGTGATTACCAGCGTAAACCTTCACCTTTGCTCTGACTTCCAGGAAACAAGGTACAGACCTCTTTTCCCTCTGGCCTTGCCCTGACCTGTATCACTCTTTCAAAGTTGGCCACTTTGGTGCAATGCTGGCCACGCACCCCACCCCTGCCCCCTGACCCAGCTCACCTCCCACTCCCTCTCACATACCCCCATTGGAGTTGGCACAGCATGACCCCATACACACCTACCTGCCACTCTGTCCTTGCCCCTCCCCTCTCCTGCCAGTCTGGGACAGCGAACATAACTGCACACACCCTGGCTTGCCACACACACACGCAACAACAGTGCAAGAGACCACAGCAGTGCACCTGCTCACACCTAACTGCATTCATCTGGTGGGAGCCAGAGATGGCCACTGGTCACAGCTACCCTCAGTGCAGCCGCCTGCTGCTGTGCCTCAGGGCCTACATCAGCCAGCAGCCAACACACTTAACTTCCCTCCATGACCAACAAATGGAAACTCTCACTCAGAGCCGGCGCCACCCCAGCCACCTGGAGAGATGGTGAGTGCTCTAGTGTAGCCAGGGTAGCACGTACACCTCTCCTCCCCAGACACATTAAAACTAAATGAAATGAAAGATCAATATACAGCAAACATTAATATAATGACACCTTACTACCTCAGAAACAACATTTAAAACTCCACAAACCACAAAAGAGAAATCAGATGACTGATAACATCCTAAAAGTCACACTTTAAAATAGGCAAAGGGTATGAACAGACAATACCAAAGAAAATATTCATGCAGTCAAACAAATACATGAGAGGAATTTGCTATCGTTAGCTATTCACTCACTCCTTGCCTTTGAGTGGGCTCTCTAACTGCCCTCCGTTGGATTTCTGAAGCTTTGAATTCCATAGGTGATTGCCCATGTTTCTCTCTTAGAACCTCTGGTGGATCTGAACCACCAAAAGGGCATGGCCTTTGGGTTAACAAGGCAACTCTACAGACTTCCACTAGAGCTCCTTCTTTAACCATTGTTAGGTACTATTGAGTCAGAACCAACTCACAGCTGAACCTCCAGCAAGTTTTCAAAGTAAGTCTTAAGAAAATTGCCCATCTTTTCCCACAGAGCTGCTGGTGTTTTTGAACCACATGCCTTACCACTAGGCTACCAGAGTTCTCTCTTTAACCATTGTTGTTGTGTACCGTTGAGTTGGAAATGACCAATAGCTGACCCTCCAGCAGGTTTTCAGAGGCAGTTAATTGTCCATCCTTCTGCAGAGCAGCTGGTGGCCTCGAACCACATACCTTCAGTATTGCCATGCAGCTTCTTATCACTAGGCTACCTATAACCACTTTTAACCATTAGAGAGCTGAAAATCAAAGCAATGAGAGATCAGTTCACCTTGGCAGTGGAAATGATGGGGGTGGTGGAAGGAGCAGATGCTGGCAAAGTTTAGAGAGACTGAAACTTTCTTACACAACTAGTGAGATTGTAAACTGTGGAAAATATTCTTTTGTTAGGTGCCATTGGTGGTGGTTGTAGGTGCACCTTGGAACAATAAACCATGCAAGATCAAAACAGCAGCATTTTGCTCAAAAATAAGTTTCAGAGAGCAGAAAGGGTCAAGGAAGATGGATGAATGGAAACAAAACACCCAGGATAGAAAGAGGAAGACTGCTGTTACATTGAGGAGATTGCAAACAATTTCACAAAACAAAATGTATAATTGTTTAGAACAGATTGTCTGGGACGCTAGGCTGTATGAGGAGGAATGTGGCATCAGAAGTGGAGGAAGAGTCGACACCTGCGTTTTAACACAATCCTGTTTTCTGAAACTGAGGAGGACCTGGAGCACTGCTGCAGAAGATCAAGGACTGCAGCCTTCAATATGGATTGAAGCTCAACATCAAGAAAACAAAGATTCTCACCACTGGGCTGATTGGCAGCATCATGATGGATGGTGAAGAGATTGAGATTGTTAACAGCATTAGTTTGCTTGGCTCCACAATCAACA